TTTGTAATGCCCCAAATAAGTTCAATTGGTTTGAATGTACAATGATAAAAAGGGAGGCGTAATATTTTATGTCCGTATTGTTCTGCTAGAAGATGAGACCATGTAAATTTTTGGTGGTTTATTTCTAAATAAAAAAGGAATTGAGAAAATAGATAGTAAATTAGAAATTAGACAGTAAAGTTTCTTCCTTAGAAGAAAAGGTGTCTTCTGACATATCTTCTTTAAAAACCGGAATTTCTTCCGATTTAAAAAACAAAATCTTTTCTTTGAAAGATGAAATTTCTTCTGATATGTCTTCGCTAAAAAATGAAATTTTTACTGATGTGAAAAATAAGATGACTCCCGTTGAGGAGAAAATAATGTCTTCCGTTGAAGAAAAACTAATGTCTTACGTTGGGGAAAAAATAAAACAGATGGAAAAGAAGATAGAAGAACTCGAACATACAGAATCCGGCCAAAGACGGTGAAATAAAGTACAATGAGTTGGAGTCGAAGTTGAAATTGGAAGGAGCTGTAAACTCTCCTCGTGTTAAAGCCCCAACTTTCGACGGAAAGATGTCGGAACTTGCGTACCAGTAACTTCCATAATTCGTCAAACAACGACTTCCGATATTTCCAATGACAAATTTGAGCAAATGATTGCAGTTGCTGGACAATCTCTAAATCAAATAGAGAAAAAGAAAATAAAGGAATTTCTTCGACGATATCGTGACATTTTTGTATCAAAAGGAGGAAAAACAGGAAGAACTTCTGTCGAAAAGCACAACATTGACATTGGTGACGCCAGGCCGATTCGTCAATCAGCTCAAAGATTACCAAAGGCCAAGAGAGAGAAAGGATTGTTCAGGAAATGAAGGAAGACAGGGTGATAGAAGCTTCTACCAGCCCATGGGTCTCTCCGGTAGTCCTGGACCAGAAAAAGGATGGAACTACGAGGTTCTATGTAAATTACCGTCAGTTGAACAATGTTACCAAGAAAGACAGTTATCCTCTTCCTCGAATCGACGATGCATTGGACACATTGGCCAGAAGTAAACCATAGAAGATGTTTTTAAAAGACTTCAAGCTGCCCAACTTATGCTTAACCCCAAGAAATGCCAGTTATTCTAAAATAAAGTCAATTACTTGGGTCATATAGTCAGTAAGGATGGCGTAACTACTACCGTGCGACCTCAAGTTTGGATGCCGACCTAGAGAAGATGTAGCTGGTGAAGATTATGTGATCCAGTTACGAAGAAGAATGGATGATATACATGAATTAGTTCGCTTGCATCTTCAAATCGCCAGCGACAGAATGAAGAAGCGATACGATACCCAAGCCATAGAAGGATGTTTCAAAGAAGGCGACAAAGTCTAGCTCCATAACCCAAAAAGACAAAAGGGTTATTCTCCGAAGCTTCAAAGGTCTTGGAATGCTCTGAACCTCATCAAAAATAAAATAAATGATGTAATTTACCGTATAAGTAAGATCCCAAACGGTAAACCGAAGTTAGTGCATCAAAACAGGCAGGTGCCATTTGAGGGTGACCATGAAGAAGAAGTAAACCAACTTCAAGAAACACCAGACCTTGTCTTTGAAGAATTTATGGGTGCATATGGAGGTACTGGAAAAGCCAGATATGGTGTTACGACCGAGCAACAACAAGATCTGCTCTCGCTTCCAACAGACTACTCGCTGGTCCATAGTACTTCCGCCAGCATCAACGACGCGCGAGGCCTGGCATATGTGTTCCGTAAGAAGTTTGGTCGACTGCTAGAACTTCAACATCAGTTAGCAGCCCTTGGAAAAGCCTTGAAACTTCAAGACGAATCGCGCTACCTTTTCTATTTGATAACTAAGAACACCTTCCGAGATCAATCCACTTATCATGTTGTATGGGAAGCATTACTTAGTTTAAGGGAGCATAGGAGTCCAATGTACATAAACTAGTCATGCCGAAGATAGAAGGAAATCAGTTGGATTGGAGGATCATCAGGAACGTAGTGGAAGTAATCTTTCAAGATACCGGAGTCCAAATACTGGTCTGTAGCCATTCGCCCAGTGCCCAGTTTACAGCGAAGATAGTCCCTTGTTATTACTTCCATGCAACTGGAAATTATAAAAGAGGGTTTAGTTGCAGATACAGCCATTCAATTTTGGTTTCGTAAGAGTTCCAGGAGGAACTATCTCTTAAGGAGGGGGCAATGTAATGTGAGCCATTTCATTATTCAGTCATGCTCTAATCCTCCAAGTCCCTCTTTGTCTTATTTGGACTTTGATGCTCAACTTGTCCAATTATCATACATAATTAAACCCCTTAAGACCAAACATATGTGACGCCTATGGCGGAGAAGCTTTAAATTACTATTTGAGAAAGAACGGGATAATGTTTCTACTGTATTCCAAATATAACGAGATATTTCTAGTTTGGCGGAGGAGCATTCTGGAACCTTCACCATAATTTTAAATTTGTATATAAATATTGGTGGAGGATCAACGAGGAATCTGTTATATATGGACAGTAAAGTGAAATAGTGAACAGTTTAAAGACATTCGAAATATTCAAAAATTGTAAAAAGTTTGTTGTTGCGATTTTTTTCTTTGAATTTTTTACCAATGCTGTAGATTAGAAGGTTCTAAGGAGAAAAAAAATTAAAGAGACCCCCTTAAAAAAATGGGGGGTTGGGTACCTTTTAACCCCCCCCTCCCCCCGTATTTTTGTTGACAAAAAGAAATTTGCTTTATCGATCTTAAAATCAAAAAGAACTATAAATTTTTTTAATTTTTTTTATAGCGAAATTAACTTTGTATCTTTCTTAGTTAACGAGCTATTTACAATTTTTTTACTGAATTTCTAGAGCAATTCGTCCGTCCTGGACTTAACATATCAACAAAACTAAAACGCCCTACACACGTAACGATTTATCGTACTGCGCTTTGAACTGCAGATCGTAAAGAAAATCGTACGGCTTGCAGTACAGCCATTTTTTGTACACACGATGCAACACATTGTACTGCCGCAGTTCAGATTATTCAGTTTTCGTCGAGAAGGGCTACACCGTTATGTCAAGAATTTTAAAGAAGAAAGCTGCCGTGCTTGTAGCTGCGGTATTGCTGATAGATGAAGATGATGAACAAAAAGAAATCAAAAAGCGAAAATGGTGTAAAAAGTGGTTGCTGGAGAGAAAGAAATATTCACATATGAGGTTGTTAAAAGTGCTGGAAAAAGAAGAACCTCTTGATTTTAAAAACTATTTAAGAATGGATTCTGATGCCTTTACGTGTTTGATGGATTTAGTTTGTAATAAAATTACGAAGCAGGATACAATTATGAGAAACGCAATATCTGCTGAAGAAAGATTGGTTGCAACACTAAGATATTTAGCAGCAGGATGTTCTTATATTGTTTATTTTCTTTTTCATCACTTCTTGTGATGCTTCTGGGAACAATTTCATACATTTTTTAAACAAAATTTCATAATTGGAATTTCTTTTCATTTTATTTGCATAATTTTTTGATTTCACATCCCATAGGCATCTATTTTCTTTGTATAAATTAATAAAGTCTTCCCAGAACGTCTTATTTTTTAAATCCATAATAATGATTAAACCAAAAATAAATAAAAATTATATCGTAACTGCGCGCTGCGGCAGGAATACACTCCACACGTTCAGACTTGCGTTCAAACCCCACCCCAGACACGACCCGTTGATACGATATTTTATGGAAGCTCCCTACTGCAAACGATTTGACGACTGCATACTGCAAACCATCCAATTTTCCTACACACGCTACGATTTATCGTTAATGCGGCAGTTTCGATGGATATCGTCAGGAGTTATTGTACAAAAAACGCATATAAAAATCACTGGTGTGCCTAGGGCTGTGCTTAAGCCGCCCCTGCAAAACCTACCTCTTTTATTATGTTTAAATAAATTATTAATAAACAAACTGTTGTTTAAAATAAACAAACATCACAATAATAATAGTCCAAGTATCGTACCCTGTGCAACTCCATAAGAAACAGTTCTCTGACCACTGCGTATCCCATAAAATTGTTTTTACATCAGAAAATGCATCTTGATTTATAGAAGACGTGTGCTAAATTTCATAAAGATATCTACAATAGTATCACAGTTTTATAAAAAAAAACTATATTTTTTTTGAAAATTTAACCGCCCTGTATCTCAAAAGTTAGGAGGTTTCGGACATACGTCCATGTAAAGTTTTTTCCTTAAAATGGGCCCAAGAATCACCCCCTTAAATATTAGCTTGTCATTAAGGAACACCCTGTATATGGTAGAAATAAGATATCTAAATACTTTTTAATGATATTGTTACAATTTTAAATTTTTTACGCAAATTAATTTTATTTTGTATTTTTATGATATTATTTACATGATTTTAATTAGATATCTCTTTAAGTTTACTGATTTATTGAAACTAATTCCAAAATATAAATTTAACCGTAGTTATAATAGTTTTATTGAATTAAGATTCCCAATCGCCCCTACCAGTTATTTTATTAAATAGAACAAAAAATGTTGAATAAAACTTTTGTAAAATTTGTTCAAAATTACCATTCTTTTATTATTATCATACTATTATTGAACATTTTTGCATTACCATAGCGAATTGCACCCTCTAACGGTTAAAATAATTTTCAGCATTTTCTCTTGACTGACTTTGTTGTAAGAATTTTTCTTTCGAAGCTGCAGAATAGTTTTTGAGATACAACCGCTAAAAATCCTTAATCGAACACCCTACTTCCTTTCCTCGAAAATAACATAGATCGTAGATAGTGCTTGCCCGATTTCTCTCTATTAATTGTAAGTGATTTTTTAAATTATAGGGACCATTACTATTCCCTCCATACATCTTTCCCTTTGATACGCATCAAACACGGTAACCTTGTTCTCGACTCAAAAATAAATCAATCGCGACAATATCGCTGTAGCTTCTAAATTGCCATCTCGACATCGCATTTTTATGGATGGCTCTGTTTTTCCGTTGTTTCAGAACGACAGGGCCGCCTCGATAGACGAGAAGATAATTGATGGACACGTCATTCCTAAACAAGTGCTTTTCACGACGCCTACTAAGAAAGACGTCCCCTATCAGACGTTGGCCAACGGAGATAACAACATCAGGGTGGTGATTCTCTTTACGCAGGAACAGAGAGGCGCCTCGGTTGTCAGTAAGTATCTAATTTAAATAATTAGGATTAATAATAGTTGGATTAGGGGAGGGAATTTGTTTTTTATACATTATTTGGTAAATCAAAGAAAAATCTCATCATATATTTCTAAGGACACCAACTTTAGTTATTGTAAGCCTATGTCAGAGAATTATCTTGAGGTTATGGTCAATTATGACATAATGTGACGAAAATTGGATTAAACTGTATGGGGATTAACGTTATAGATACAAAATTGCTTAAATATGAGATAAGATGCGTATTTTCAAAAAGAATTTATTGGCTTTTTCAAAATTAAAATATTAAGGTCAGTTTCCGAGATATTTATTCAAAACCAAGAGTGGCGATTTTCGTTATTTTTAATTAACTAGAAATTAGATTTTAATTAACACCTGCGTTAACTAGAAATCATGTTGTATCAAACATGCATTGTGAATTCTTTAAATGCTATAAGAATTGCAATTTGTTTCGAAAAATCTTAAGGGTGCCACAGCACTTCCTTTGTTTCATAGCATGATATAAATTCCAAGTTTAGTTCATTCTTTTCTACGTAGATGTAGCTATAATATCCTTATTTTGTCCATTAAATAGTAACCATAGTTTTATTTTATATTCTAAATTAAGTTAGTCTAATGAGAACGATTTTTGATAAAACACCCCATACGGGGCGTTTTTTAATATTACAATCTGATTATAAGTTGATCAATGAGTAAAAGGTTGTAATCTAAAAAACTAAAGTTCTACTCATTCATATACCTTAGGGTCTGATAACTTAATTACACTAAACTATCGTGTAACATTAAACCACACATTATTTGCATTAACACAATCACTTGGCTCAAAAAGTTTCACTCTCTTGAGTCTTTTTGTCAGGTTTGTGTTGTCAAATAGCTGGATCGTCTCAACGTTCACATGTTAATGGTGCCATTGTTAGTAACTCCTAGCGAATCTGGTGATAGTATGGTTAACAGTGTTCATCTGAAGGTCTCGATGAAGCTCGTTGTTTCTAATGTACCAATGTTCCCCAGTACTTTGTTCTGGAATCTCTAGATTATTAGAATATTACTGTTGTGTGTCAGCACCCCAGAGCTGAGTATCATAAGTTCAAATTGGTTTAAGGACTTGTTTATACAAAAGAATTTTGTTTATGTAGATAGGCTGGAGTACCTATCAAGTAACCAGTACATTTTCTTGAATTTTATATCGAACTCTTGTCTTTTCTTTTTAACATAGACCTTCCAGCAAAAACTTGCATATAATGTAATACCTAGATATTTTGTCGAGTTAGCATAATGGATCTGAGCATTATTTATGTTAATTGGTATTATTTGACCATTTTTGTTACTAAAATTAATATTAATAGATTTAGTTTCGTTTCCAAACGCTATCTTTTGGTCCAGTTATTTATTTGATAAACTGATAGTTTATTTGCAGCCTCTTCATGATCTTTGCCTTTTAATTGATAGGAGGGCAATTGTAGATGTATTGTCTTGGGCCAGTTGGGGTATAACTGATACAAAGTGGATCCCAGGACGCCTTCCTGTGGTACTCTTGCTTAAATGTCTTTCAATTCAAAGTATCCTTTATCTCATTTTACTCTAAAGAATCTACCTGAAATGTACGAATCCAGTAGCTCTGAATATGGCAGTGGAAGTAGCACATTCAGTTTATGTTTTAAGCTATCATGCCATACTTTCTCAAAAGCCTGTGCAACATCGAGGAAGATGGGAACATAGTTGAATGGTTTTCCCTAAAGCCAAACTGATAATTTGGAATTAGTTTCCTTTCTCCAATGAAGTGTTTCAGTCTTCGTTAGTATTTTTTCAAATAGTTTTGATAATTAGGAATATTGACTTATATGACAACGTACGTTTGGAGGTTTTTCTGGTTTGAGGATCCACAACCTAGGGATATACCTTAATTTGAATGAGGCATTAAACAGGTGTGTAAATTATGACTTCCTTCGGAAGTTTTTTTATAACTTTTTCTGTAATTAAAGCTTTCTTAAGATCAATATTTTTTTTATTTCTTCTGTAATTTCCTTTGGAGAGCTTGATCTGATGATTGAGTCATATTTCTCTGAAAGATCGCAGTAAATTCTTCTTCGCCGGTTTTGAAACCTTTCCAAAATTAACTTTCTTCTTAGTAAGAAAAATCAAAGGTAGAGTGTTGAAAATATTTTCTATCTCTGCTTTTTTCTTTTGACGTATTCAATACCTGGTGAGGTATTATCCAAAAAAGTAGTTGTTGTAAAAAAAAACGGCCGCCCCTATGATTGTGATGCATACATCTCGTATTGCTATTGCTGCTATACACCAAGCAGACTTTGACTTAGTGGAGCACCACCATATTCGCAAGATATAGCCCCTACTGATTACAGGCTGTACTCCAAATTAAAAAAAAAAACTTTCGCGGGAAATTTTTTTCCAGTAATAATGAACTGATGCAAACTGTAGAGAGGTGGTCTGCAGATGTCTGACAAATTTTTTTCCAGAAGGCTGTTGAGATGTTAGAGCACCGATGGACCAAGTGCATTAGTATAGAGGGAGACTATGTCGAAAAATAAAAAATATAATGCCACTGTAGTTTTACTGTAAGGGGTCAGGGGTGCAGCATAGGTATCCACCCTCGTATATCAACTGCTTGTGAATAAATATCCAACAACCACTACATTTGTTCAACTAAATTAATCATGGGGTATTCAGAATCTCAAAAGGACTGCAAGTGAAAGACTCCCTTTAAAGTAAATTGAAGGCTTGAATTAAATAATGTGCTAAGTGCCAAAAAAATCGGTTTTACATTTTATACTTGTAAAATGTTCTAGATGCCATAACCAACAACATATATAAAGCGTTAAGTGCTACAGCTTTTAAATAATTTAATAGCCGTGGAACTTAGCGCTTCATATATGTTGTTGGTTATGGCACCTAGTACATGATCCTAGTACAAGTATAAAATTAAAAACTAATTTTTTGGCACTTGGCACATTATTTAATTCAAGCCTTCAATTATTTATACATTGTCAATAATTTCCAGGGTATTCGGTCAACAAATGTCAAATATTACAGGTTTTAATTTTGTCATCTGTCATTTTCCGATTTATACTCGAATGAATATAAGACAAGATTTATTTTTAAATGTGTTTTGTTATTTTTACAAATTTAATGAATTTAATAAAGTTTAATGATATATATTAGGACTCAACTGGTCTTAAAAATATATAGATGATTATTTCTAATAGATAAATTGCATCCTTTATTTGCAGAAAAAAATCACATCCTAAATATTTTTTTGCAATACGTTTTATAAGAGTTTTAAAAAAAATAAAAAGAAATACCCTTTTTTTTGAAATTAGCATTTTGTGACCTAATATGTAAATGTATATATATTTTTTTATTCAGTACTTATATTTCTGTTTCCAACAAACAAAATACTTATAATAAATACCCCTCTCCAAAATATCCCTCCCCAGGTTGCGTTTGGCTTTGAACGGTCTTTGTTCAATTATTGAAGGAGTCAGATTCACTCAGAACACAACGTGGCTAGCCAGAGCTTGTTGTGGCGTCATTAGGAACGATTTGACCTACGACTTTCCCTAAAACCTACCCTGACGACCACATTACGTAACATTATTATTCACGATCGTAAAAAGAGTCGAAAATTCCCCATTCTGCGCCGGATGCCAATAATTCTAGCTCTGCCACTGTATCTACTACAATTCTTACTAGGCCGTAGGCAGTCGAATTTTAAAACACCCAGTATATAGCAGTTTATCTCACAATTCAGCGGTCCATACCCATACATATCTTAAGTAAAAATAAATTCAAATCCGTACCTTTAACAATTTGTCAAAGATATAATATATAGTATTTCGCGGGGATGGCGTTGTTATATATACGTTCTAAAATGTGAAAATTCACGTCTAAGCGAAAAATGAAAAATTGTTCGCGATTTATTTACTTTATATGTTTTCCTGTCTGAAAAATATGTCGGCATTCATTTGTCATCTGGTGCTTACGAAGAGTCAGGTTTGGAGTTCGTTGTGCCCTTGTGCGATAGTTAGAATTTGCTCACCGAAAAAGGGATGCATCTGATTTTTTTTGTTTTGTATATTTGATTATTTTTACGAGTTTTTGATGAAATATTTTGACGACAGGTCCGATGATATAAATATCCTTTTTGGGAACTACAGATTAATAATTTCTAGACTTGTATCCCAACAGAAGCAAAAACTCATAACCTTGCATGAATTTTAAATCTTAACTGTTAAAGAATACATATGTGTCATCTCGCTTTGCTAATAAGATCGTTTGAAGTCAAAAAGCGAAAAGGTATAATATCTCAAAGTTTGCGTCACTGATATATGATTAAATCGTTTAATAAAATATAACGCTATGAGATATAAAAAATACCAAAATTCCTTATTTAAATTAATAAAGAAGAAAAAAATTAAGAGTCTATGTCACACAGATCAGTCGGGACAAATACCCGGAATACTAGTTGTTTTCTGGGGGAAGCAGTCGCTCGATTTAAGTTTTTCTTAATTTTACAGTGTGAAAATTTAAAAACTTACAATGGGCTATATCTCACAAACGAAAGATGATATCAAAAAATGCCTAAATACATTTCTAGGATAGGAAGGAGGAACTAAAATGATATAAAAAAGACTCACCTCTATTAACCCCCTACTTGTGATACATCATTGAAAACCCTATAAAAAATGCTATTCAGTGGTATAAATAATAATTACACAGGGTAAATAAATAAAAGAAGGTTTTCTGGAACTACAAATTTGTGAGTTCTCTTTTATGTCATTTTAGTTCCCCCTTTCTATCCTAGAAACGGTTTTAAGCATTTTTTGATATCTTTCGTTTATGAGATATAGCCTGTAAGTTTTTAAATTATCACACTGTATATTGGTCATATTTGAGTTTTCATTACCTATATAATTATTTACTTTTTAGATTACGTTAAAAGCCACACTCTCTTTGGAGATGGCACCCACACACCAGGTGTGGTTTTGGCAGAAATCGTGAAACCCAATATACCCGTCAAGAATGGAGTCGTTCACCTGATCCAAAAACCTCTGATGGTCGTCGATGGCTCCGTTAAGAAATTACTAGAGGTAACAATTTTTCTGTAAAATTTTATTTTTTTATTTGTAACTTTTGCCAACTACAGGTTATAATAGAGACAAGGAAATAATAATCTTCTATAATATCTAAACATTTTTATTTTTAGTAGTTTCTTTAAGTCGGCATAAATATTTTCTTGAATCAAAATAAACTTAAAGAACTAGAAATTGTTTCATGTTCAACCATCGACATATTCGACATAATAATGACAAGCGACTGGACTAGGGAAATGTCAAACATCAACTTAAACTGCCAACTTAAAGTGGCGGTAAATTAAAAAAAAGATTACCTCTACACTATCAGTATTAAATGTTGTTATCTTCTTCGTGTTTTAGCATTTTATTCATAGCATCCTTACTTCCTCTCTTAAGTTATCCTACCGCCTAATTCACAAACGATCTCTAAACTTGTCTCTAAGTTATATATTGTTAAACTTTAATGAATCTAACTTGGAAGATATCTCACACACTGTTATTTAATCACACAGGTTTACAAAAAAAGTCCAGGGTCAGTTTTGCCCCATCACGTCAGAAAACCCAGATTTCAAGGTTATTTAGAGGTTAAAATGGTGCTTTTTCGGAACCGGCCCCGGGTCAATTTCTCAAGCGATCTGTAAAGTTGAGGGGTAATTGTCTAGGTCGTGAATACCTTCCAAAACATTGGACAGGGGCCATGAATCTCGACCAGGATCAGCGCAGGGACAGCCTAGTGGATAAAATGTTACCATGATGGTTGTATCTCGCGAATTTCGATCTCCCTGTCAAGGTGTTTAATTTCGGTGATCCATTTGCTGTAAGATAATGTCAGTGGATCCAGCACTGACCCAAATGGCCCTAGAACCTTGCCAGAACATAGGAGCTATGCTTCGTGTCCCGCTCAGGTCTGTGAATTGATATATAAAAATATGACATTGTATACATGTTCTGCTATCGATTTTATGAATGATTGTCAGAAATATTTAATTGGTTAATGATTTGAGGAAACATAACCTCATTTATTTGAATTTAACTATTCACAGTAACGGTTCGCAGTATGTTTAAAAAATCACGGTCTCTCTTAACTTTAATTTTTCTTTGAATTGACGTTTTTTATTAGGAATTAAATTTAGATACTAATTTAAAGTTATTTTGTGAATACCAATATTAATAACAAAAATCTTTGAAATACAAAGGAAAAAGCAGCAAATGTGTTAAACAAACACACCCAGAAGTGTCATTTCCATGAGCTTTTCATTTAATAGAACCAGTACATTCAATTGCTACCTTTGAACTGATAAATTAAATACGTATTTGAACAGATGTTTTGGATTTCATTAACCACCACAGAACATAGCCAAAGTCAAATACGACTGACACGTATAGACATGCAATCGAGATAATTTCAATTTAGAATTTAAAGTCAGGAAATTCTGGCCACATCGTTGTAACAACTAAATTTCCCGCCATCAAAGAAAATTTATAACATCCGACGACACGAACAATCTGACTGTACAATTGGAATCAGCCCAGATAATTCTTTTTATCGTTTCCTTGGATTTAAACTTGTTCTTATTCTAAAATCCATTTGATTCTTATTGGCCCATAACTGAAACTATTCAGCCTGCAACTGAGGCTTTTATCTCGCATGAATTCAAAATTATCAGCTCAAAACAGAAGGCTTTGTAACACAGCGTGTGACGCTGTTTGGAGATAGGAAATACTACTTTTATGAATGTAAAAAAGATGACACAAGAAGAATCATTGATCTCGAAAATAGTAATTTTCAACTGAAAGATGATACGAGTGGATGCTGATATATTAACCTAGTAAACAAAATTGAATATGGTTACTATTGAAGTCAAAAAGCGAAAAGGTACAATATCTCAAAGTTGGCGTTACTGATATATGATTAAATTATTTAATAATTTAATAAAACATGAGATATAAAAAATTCAAAAATTACTTATATAAACAAATAAAGAAGAAAAAATTAAAGTCTGAGTCACACAGATCAGTCGGGGCATATACCCAGAGCAATAGTTGTTTTTTGGGAGAGCCGTCGCTCGATTTGAGTTTTTCTTTCTTGATCTACAACTGCTATCTATAAATCAATTCTAAACTGGCAAGTGTCTGATGACATTTCGATGTCAGACCAAAGTATATTAACCATTGAGTAGCGACATAAAGCGTCGGTGCCTCTGATCTTGGGTGGTGCAAATTTTCTTTCTCTCTCTTTTGACGTTATTGACGGAAGGACACACTAAAATACTGCTCGAATTATAAACTGGTCTTGAATGTGATGTTTACACTGCTCGACGTAATTAGAAGTAAAACTCTTTTGTAGTTTACATTTATAATAAAGGTTTGGTCATTAGGCAGTTTTATATTTATGAGTATTTAACTTATGTAGTAAATATAAAAATATTTATATCACTATTGATAAATTTCAATTTTTTTACCTACGTCCGGATGAGCTAGAGACTTGAAATTCCAGATATATAAGTTTTGAAGAGTTAGGTATATTAGTATACACATGAAATATGCAGAAGGAATGTAAGCAGGGCCAATTTATGCTTTATAGAGTTAAATTAAGGTTAAATTATTTAGGAAAATGCTTTTAAAATGTTTAAATATTGTACCTAACAATAGGTCCATATAGTTAGACAGGTATAAAATGAACCCTTTTCTAAACAAGAAATGCTCGAAAAAACCCATTTATAATAATTGTTATACCTTGTACATATTCTGTATATTCTGTAGATTTTATAGGAAATATACGAAAGAGGCCTTATCACATCAAATTTTCAGAAATAAGTTCCAATAAAAATAAGATTATTATTTGATAAATATCAAATATAGTGTAGGTAGGTACTTACCTTTCATATTCTTTTGGAAATGAAAACAGTGATTTGTTATCACCAGATCTTGTCGAGCAAGGTCGATAAGCACATGCATTTCCTGGCATAATAAAAAACTCACAAAATCCCAAAAGATCTTAACAAAAACACAATAAAAGAGCATGACAACGAATTCCTATATCAGCTGCCGCACTAAAGTGAAAGGGGTTGTTTACATCTTTAGAAGACGTTTCGCCTCTCTATTTCGCGTCGGCGCACTAGAATTCGGTTCCACAGCTGTCGCTACTCAATGGTTAATATACTTTGGTCAGACCACCGCTGGTTAGCATTCAAAATAAACTTGATGTTGCCGACCTCCACGCTATCTCGGAACCCTAGGAAGACGGACAGGGCAATCTAAGCCCACCTTCTCCAAGAGGCTCTGACATAGATGGAGGCCGAAACACCAAACAATAATACTGCTTTGGAAAAGTACACAAACACTATCCAAAGCACAATAAACAATGTCTATAAGCAATCCTGTCCTCTGAGGCTGGACCAACACGATTAGACGACTACCGCATGGTGATGTCACGAGTTGCATCACCTCAGGAAGATGCCTAGAAAATCTTTTAATAAGGCAAGAACCACAAAACTCAAAGAGGACTGGGATACTTATAAATATCACCTCGAAGAATACAAAAAAATCGTTAGACAAAAACTGAGAGATGCATGGAGATCCTACAGCAAAGAAATCGAAGATTTACCACAGGCAGCGAGGCTTCAAAAAGCTCTCTTAAAAGATCCGCATCGAAGCATTGGTGCACTAATCAAAGAGGATGGCACGAAAACTGTTAACCTCGAAGATAGCATCAAACTTCTGCTGTCCACACACTTCCCTGACTCGGCCATCACACACGTGGCGGACTGGGCAGAGGAAGAATACAATCCATCTGTCCATGATTGTCAAATTACCAAACACATTGTAGACGATGAAAAAATTAGATGGGCAATATCCAGCTTCTCTCCATTTAAATCGCCAGAACCTGACGGTATCTATCCAGTCCTACTTCAGTGGGGTCTGGAAGAACTCACACCGCACCTGGGACCATATTCAGATCCTCGTTGGCTTTGAGGTATATCCCCAAAAAATGGAGAGAGGTAAAAGTGGTATTTATACCCAAACCTGGAAAGATGGATTACACTGTCCCAAAAACATACCGACCAATTAGTCTAATATCGTTTTCCATGAAGACATTGAAAAGGCTATGCGAAAGGTACATAAGGGATACGGTGATTACAACAACACCGTTACACCCAAACCAACATGCATAGCATACACCCCAGGCAGATCTACTGATTCAGCCCTTCATCTAGGTGCTTTTGATAAAACCACCTTCCCAAAGATAATATACTCACTAACCAACAGGAATGTTCCACAAATGATTAGTGGGTGGATACATAACATGCTCTAAAAGCGAGTAGTAAACATAAGTGTAGAAGATGTGAGTATAAGAGGCTTGGTTACGAGGGAATGTCCACAAAAAGGGGTGCTATCACCTCTACTGTGGAATATGGTCCCTCGACGCCCTCATCAGCCGCCTAAATAATGACAGTCACTACACAATAGCATATGCAGATGACCTGGGCGGCTATCCTCGACAATCGCTAAAAAAACGAACCGTTTTCGAAAGTGAGTGGTTGAAAAGCGAGTAGTTTTTGAAATCTATATTCTTGACTGGCGTTCGATAAGCATTCGTTTTTTAAAACGTGTACGTTTTTAACAAGCAAATAATATATCTGGCATCACTGTAAACTGTCTATATCGCTGAATTCAAGTAATGTGCAGGCCATAAAAAATAAGGATTATGTAATTTAATTACAACAAACCAATTGTATATAAATATTCACATAATATATCAATGTTCAGGATAAACTGAATCGGTAATCATTGGCGGAAAAACAGCTATACGGGTGCTGTCAATGTAACCTATAATTCTAGGAAAATCGTCGTCATAAAACCTAGTTTTTATGGTACAAAATTAACTTAAAAACTTTGCTAATCTCATTCAGTTCTTTAATATCTTGTGGCAATTTTACAAAATTGTTAAAATTTCTGGACACAACGTGTGATATAGAAGATCTTTGAACTACCACTTGCAAGAAACCGCAAGC